CCGTTGGCCTCTCCATCTTTTCGATGATGCCCTCTTTCTCGGGTCTGTTCAAATCCGCTTCTACCTTTGACATCAAGGGAAATGCGATACGACAGGCAGTTGTTAAACAGTACAGCTTAGCATCATTTCTAAGAGTTATCTTTACAGGCTCACATTTCACTAGTCCGAAATTTGATTCAACACTGTCAACTTTCTTTATAAGTCCAAACTTGCTTGCAGCTGATCATCCTAAAAGGTTGCTCGTTCCTCTAATAACATGAATTGGAAACGCAAAGTTTTGGTCCTTAAAGTTAGTCTCAGCTGTGAAAACTCCCAAGACAGTCAATTCTTCCTCCAGGCCCAAACAAAGCAGTGTTGGCTGATTTCAGTTTCGGTGGGTACTGAAGCTCACGGTAAGTTGATTCACCCATGACTGAGGTATCTGCTCCTGAATCGATCTTGAACGGTATAGTTTTCCCACAGACTTTCAGGTTCACCTTCCATGCTGCTTCATCGTCATAACAAGTAGTGATCGAACCAACGAATCCTGATTCCTCATACAATATCCTCCAGGTTCTGGATGTTCTATTTCCGCTATGCTATTCTGGTTATAAAACACAGCAAAGTGATCATATTTGTGACACCGTCTGCACTGTTTTCCCTTAGCGAAACAATGATCCCTTGCATGTCGTAAATTACACTTGTTACACTTGCCTTGACCTTGTCCTGTTCCGTAATGGTTACCTCTGCCATGCCCACCTGAGTGTCTGTGTCCTCGACCTCTGCCTCGGCCGGTGTTAAAATTCCGCTGACTTTGACTCATAGCACTATGCTTACGGACTGCTTCCACATTTGTAGCTGACACACTCTGGTCCTTGATCTGTGATTTAACCATTTCCGATTGCCGCGCGATTTCTACTGCTTTCTCGAGTGTCAGGTCTGATCTGAGCTGTAGTTTCTCTGAGAGTTCTTTGTCAGAAATTCCAATCACTAATCGATCTCTAATTTGCTCCTTTTTTTCCAGCAAAGTCACAATACTCAGAAATTTCGTGGAGATTTCTTACGAAAGTTTCTATAGACTCACCGGGTTGTTGTGCGCGCTGATAAAATCTGGCTCGTTCATGGATAATATTTCTCTTTGGAATGAAATATTCGTCAAATTTCTTGAAGACTTTCGCAAACTTCTCATCATCTTCATCTTCGAACTGCAGTGACTTAAAAATGTGCTCTGCCTCCTAACCCATTGCGTAGATAAGTGCGCTGATCTGGACCTCCGGGTCATCTTTGTTCAACTTCGAGGCCATTCTTAAGCGGGAAAATCGTTCTTTCCAGTCGAGACACTCTGTAGGGTTACTGAAGCTATCAGCTTAATCCGTCCGCTAAATATACAGGAAAAATTACTGGAATCCCGCTTCTGACACCATGTTCAGACGAGCCATCGGAAACACGTGTGATCAACTCAATCATTTATTAAGAACACATCATACGTGACGTCATACACAACACTACACATAAAGGTCACATGGTACACAAAAAGCAAATAATGAATTAATGAATGAAACATGAATCCGAAACAAACATTCATGGAAATCAAAAACCGATACATAGTATTATGTATCAAAGAATAGTCTACCTCTGTATCAAGTTATATTAAAATCAGACCAAATCTGTAGGAGTCACATTTTTAAAGTATTTCAAAGAAAGTTCTATTTTAAGTTACATGGCAACACCGTTCATTGAAATCAAAAGTAACTAGTAATATACGGAATTATGTATCTTTGAGTAGTCTATTTGTGTGCGAAGTTATATTGAAATCAAACCAAAACTGTAGGAGGAAAATCATTTTGAATGTATTTCTATTTTTTGTAACCACGGCAACACCGTTCATCGAAATAAAAGTCTGATACACAGACTTATGTAGTCTACTTGTGTGCCAAGTTATATTGAAATCGGACCAAAACTGTAGGAAGAGTAGGATTTTGAAAAATTGTTTACAGACAGACAGACAGACGGACGGACGCATTACTATCTCATAAGCTCTTCTGGTCTCTGACTAGTAGAACTAAAAACCTGGTATTTTCACCTATGAAACCAATAAACAAAATGGCTAATTGTATTCGGCGCGTCGGCGTGCTAGCGCGTCCATCTCATCCCAATATCACAAAAGTATTTCTCCCTGCATTAAAACACTCAAATGACAGCGATTTTCTTTATAATTTAAGCGTCATCGCTTATATTCAAGTCGACAGCCCGAGCCCGATTGTATTTCTTTGTTAGGTGGAGCCAGAAAAAAATTTCCTAGGAGGTGGTGGATAAAACCGCAAGGGGAAGAGGTCCGAGGCATAGCTTTAGTAATTTTACTATGTCAGTTTAAATACATTTGAATTTTCCAGGGATCCGGATCCCCTTTGATCCATGCATGCCTTACCACAATAAATTGGCCTACTTTCGATCTCTCTCGATCTCGTCTATATATCTCTCCAAATTTTAACTATAGGATTTAAAAATATTGAGTGCTTTGTTTTTTATAAATTTATTTTATGTTTATCACATATTCCTGGGAACCGGGGGAGGGGGCTTACACAGATAGACATCCTATTAAACATTCGGACGTAGGTTTAGCCCCCACTTTCAACAGACACGTTGCAGTGTAGTTGAAGAATGGTAAGTGGTAGTGTTTCAAAGAACAAAAATTGGTATTGAAAGAAGTTCGATCCTCCCTCCCCCTATGAAATTGGATTTTAATGTTTTGACAAAAGATACATTCCCCCCCCCCCCTTTTTTTTTTTTGCTTGTTAAGATTTTTCAGGTTCGAATTTTTATTTTACTTACCCCCCCCCCCCCTTTCAATTTGCTCCCGACGCCGTAACAAATTAAAATTTACCAGTATTACGTTATGACCCTAGACTCTAGAGTTTATACTCCTTTTTAAAGACTTGATTTTCTTGGCTATAAGCTGCTATCATTAGTATCAGTGTTTCAAAAAAATATTCCTTGTTACGTTTTATAATAGTACTACTATGAATTTACTTGATTTATTAGAGGTCTGAGGATGGGACGAAACTTTAGTTACAGAATTGTCTTTGCTATTAATAGCCCTTTAAAACAAACTTTTGGTCAGAAAAATACCTTATTAATTTATTGAAAAAATTGAACAAAGAAAAAGTCTTTACACTTTTTGGCACATCATTCTAAGGTTATGGTGAGATCAAAACAAACATTACCTTTTTGACTGTGTATAATCGCGTCATTTTCTTTTTTATTAGGTCACCTGAGTAACTCAGGTGACCTATTGCTATCCGTTTTCGTCTGTCGTCGTGCGTAGTGTGTTAACATTTGAACATTTTCAGCTTCTTCTCTGAAACCACTTAACCAATTTCAACCAAATTTGGTATACAACATCTATGGGTGAAGGGAAACGTAAATTGTGAATTTTATGGTCCCCGACCCCTGGGGCCTGAGGGCCTGAGGGGTGGGGCCAAAACCACTAAAATTATTGCAATCTTTAAAAATCTTCTTTACTCCTGGACATCAAGCAGGCAAACTGTTGGCATTAATGTAATGAGCATTGAGTCCTCTACCAAAATTGTGAAATTCATGGCCCCAGGGTCAGGGGTTCTAGTGCTAGGGCGGGGCTATATAGATTATATAGTGAAAATGCATTTATTTTTTTGAAAATCTTCTTCTCTGGGTATTGAATAAACTTACTAAGCACATAGTTATGATGAGCAAGAGTGCCTCTTCCAAAATTGTGAATTTTATGGCCCCAGGGTCAGGGGTTCTGGTGTTAGGGAGGGGCTCTATTGATTATATAGTGAAAATACATTAATTCTTCGAAAATCTTTTCCTTTGCTCCTGGTTTTTTGCCAATGATCCAAGTATATATATTTATGATAAAGAAAGGTGCATCTAGCAAAATGGTTATTTTTTATGCCCCCCCCCCCTTGGTTAGGGAAGGGGGGGGGCGGTGGAGTTACATAGTCTGAAAATAAATTAATGCTTTGAAATCTGTTCTTTGGTATTAATCAACAATTTTATGGTAAAAATTTGCAAATTTTTGAAATATGTGGCCCATGGGTCTGTGGTTCCTTTGGGGTGAGGTGCAAAACTGGTTATAAAGTGGAATTGCATTTTCTCTTTGTTACTGTGATATATCTCTGGGTATTAAGTAAACAGAGTAAGCATGCTAAATTTATAATTATGATATAAGCAATGGTGCCTCTTTTTAAAATTGTGAATTGTGAATTTCATGGTCTCTGGTTTAAAACACGAACCAAATTTACTTGTTTGAAAGTTGTCACACAATACTCAGGTGACCTATAAGGCCCGTGGGCCTCTTGTTTAAGTTTAACAAACTTTCTTATGGAGCATAAATGAACATAACTTGAAAAAGTTGTGAACAAAGTGTGAAACATTAAATTTCATTCCAATCGTCATTAAAATCAACACATATCAGTACTTTCAGTACTTTGATTAGTAGAGGATATCGAGCCCGATGCTGTATAAGCGATAAATTTTATAAACAAAATCTGTTGCGCGGGTGCGCCGACGCGCCGAATACAATCAGCCAACAAAATTATGTATCTTAGTATAGTCTTAGTGTAGTCTACTTGTGTGCCAAGTTATATTAAAATCAGACAAAAACTGTAGGAGGAAAATCATTTTGAAAGTATTTCACAGTAATTTCTATTTTTAGTAACCACGGCAACACCGTTCATCGAAATCACAAACCAAAATACTGAATTATGTGTAGTCTACTTGTGTGTCAAGTTATATTGAAATCAGACCAAAACTGTAGGAGTAGCTAAAACTTGGAATAGCCTTATCTGACAAACTGACATTATTATCTGACAAGCCATGCATCTCACATGATTTGGATTTGATAAAAAATGCAATATATTATAGTTTATTTACAGACAGAAGTCAAAACGGCTAAGGTTTTTTTTAAAGAGAGATCCTGTTCTAAAGCAGAAGTGTTAAAGAACATGATGTATAATAAATTTTTAAAAATGCTATTTTAGATAAACGTCGAATGAGAAGTTCAACAGTCACGGTTGCCTTCCATTCCTGCATTTCACATGATGTCAATTATCTGGGAAGAAAGCAAACCATCGTCTTTGATAGAGTCATCACAGACACACACAGTAGATATGCTAGAAACTCTGGCACCTACAGAATACCCAGAACTGGATATTATGTTCTAACTTGGGTCACACCAGTTGTCGGCAACATTCCCATGGAGCTAATTGTGAACGGGGAACAAAGAGGGCGCACTGATCCTTCAAACACTGGGAATGGTGCTTCCCATAGCACGACAGGAATAGCAGTTTTGTCCTTGTATGAAAACGACGATATATATATTCGTACACATCCAGGCACCAGTCCCACTGGTGTACTGGTCAGCAATACATGGCAAGATGCCTGCTTTTCAGTTTGGAGTATTTAATAACCGTGAATGAAAAAAAAAGTTTATTCCATGTTAAAAAAAAATGTTATTTTTGTACTGTCGATTTCTCAACATAGGTTAATAATAAAGCTTTTCACGTGGTCGATTTCTTTGTAGAAATCGGTCACAGCGCACTTAAAAAAGACTAGGAGTTGAAAGAAAATCCTTTGAAGGCATGTTTTTTTTAACATTTCTTATGTAATATTAGTCCTACGTACAATTATATATAACTTGACACACAAGTAGACTACACTAGGATACATAATTCTGTGTATCGGTTTTTGATTTTGATGAATAGTGGTGCCGTGGTTACTAAAAATAGAAATTTCTGTGAAATACTTTCAAAATGCTACTCCAAATACAGTACGAGTCTGATTATAATAAAATTTGGCATGCAAGCAGACTATACTGAGATGTATAATTATCAGTTTTGTGTTTTTGATTTTGATGATTTATGCTGCCATAGTAATTTAAATGTAAAATTCTGTAAAATTTTATTAAAAGCTACTCCTACAGTTGTAGTCTTATTGCAATCTTGCCTCAAAAGGAAACTTAATCAAGGATCATTATTCTGTTTATTGCTTTTGTAAAGTTTTAAGTCCCAACTGTTTCTTTTCTCTTTCTGTATCAAAAGTACAAACCAGTAGAGCTACAGTCTCGACAGAGACATCTGGTTAAGTACAAATTTTATTAGGTCACCCGAGTTTCTCTGGTGACTTATTACTATTTGATTTCGGTCGTTATCGCGCGTCGTTCGTTAACTTTTGAACATTTTCAACTTCTCTGAACCAATTTTGACATATAACATCAATGAGCAAAGGGGAAAAAATTTGAAGTTCATGGTCCCAAAAAAGACATATATGACAAAATTCATCGAGAGGGGTCATTTTGGTCAAGAAATGCACGTTAATTAACTTCGTATTTATTGGCACTTAGAAACGTGAAACTAAAGAAAGCAAAGCTGACGAATGATAATTTAAAAAATCGCTGAGGTTATATTCTCGACGTTCCAAAAAAGAAGCAAATCAGCTCTTCTCAGTAGCGTTGTGATAGAGAAAAGAAAGGTTCCTCAAACTCTTGCCTTATTTTGTTCCCCGCTTTCGTGAAAGCGAGGGGAAATAAACTCTTATTCGTCTGTCCGTCCGTCACAAAAACTTTAACCTTAATTGGTCATATCTTTTGAGAGATAAGAGATTTAATATTACCACATGTATATTACTTGTGACAAGACCTTTCTAAAAACACTCTAACTTTTGACCCCTTGAACTTGAAGATTGACCTTCTTTAAAAAATAATCATTACTTTGAATTGATAATAATTTTTGAATGAGAAGAAATAGGGCTTTTATATTAAGCATGTTTATTACTAGCCGCAGAACTGTAGCTCTCCGAACAAATATATTGACAGACCGGAGAGCCACAGTGCCACCCATTGAAAAAAAAACTATATTTATTGCGCATGAAAATTTGCGCTTAGTTCTGTATCAATTCTACCAAATTCTTACCTAAATTGAAACAAGAGGCCCACGGGCCTTATAGGTCACCTGAGTATCATGTAACAACTTTCCAGCGATTGTATTTGGTTCGTGTTTTAAGCCAAAAGCCATGAAATTCACAAATTTTGAAAGAGGCGCCATTGCTTATCAAAGGGCAGATTTCAAAGCATTAATTTATTTTTAGTCAAAGTGCCCCCTTGGTACCCCTGATCCAGCAGCCCTGAAATTATCTATTTTGAAAGAGGCCCCTTTCTTCATTATAAGGCCAGCATTTTTTTATGTTTAGGTTTAGTTATGAACATGAGAATAAAAAAGTCCCGAAGGAGAAGGAAATACATTTTTTTTTTTTGATAAATCAATTATTAATATTTGTACATTCTTTTTTTATGCTATCCTAATAGGCTCCTTACCACTGGACACATAATGCTTACAAATAGGAAAGTAGAACATTTAATTGCTTATTTCATCATCTGCCAGTTTGGGCCAGTTATATAAATTTTGTGATGTTGATCAAAATATATTATAAAAAATCAGTTCTTTAAAAGTCTTTCAATATATCTTCATTTTTTTAATATGTGTTAGGTGAATGTGTAGACATTATTCTTAAATTTACTTGATGCCTAAAATTATAATTTTTATTCCTATCATAAAACAGACAGGGAGTATTGGGGAGTAGGGTCAACATTTTTTCAATTAAGTGTAAAATAATTTTCTGGCTGATACAAATGATACTACATGCCTGTATATATTTGTATATTCTTGCCTTTTAATAGTTGAATTTTTTTTTTCTTCAGGTTATTGTTTATTTCTTCCTCAAATGGACTTCACTTCTCCCATAGTTTTATTCATCACATCTAATGCATAAGCAACCCTTTTCTGAAGAATGATGCTTAGACTGTACGCTATAACAGAGACCTAAACAATGTCCCTGGCAATATGCAATAGCTACCACGGGCAGTTTAAAACCTGGGGGAGGAAAATAATTTACAGTTACTTTTGAAACGAATACATAATTATCTCACCAGCATGTCATTGTGCAACAAAGTCGTCAGCATTTTATTTGTCCTTTGAACGGGGGAAACGTTTTGAATGGCACTCTTATCGATGAATTTTACACTAAACCAAGCTATCTTCTCAGATCTAGCTTTATTTACCCGCCGTTTCATCGTAAAACCGGAAGTGCGAGTTCGTAAATTTGAAATCTCGATTCCGACTCAAATTTGACATCGGAAAGAAAAAATTGTTTTATTTTTTTCTAAAAATTCAATACCTTGAGCGGAGGGTTTGTAAAACTGAAAATATAATAAATCCTGGCCTTAAATATGTAATTAGATCATTAGCAAATTAAACAGGAGCAAAGGATAAGATGTTCAAAGAATTCATGCATTTCACTATATATAATCATTAGAGCCCCACCCTAAAACAAGAACCCCTGACCCTGGGGCCATAAAATTCACAATTTTGGTAGAGGCGCTCTTGCTTATCATAACTATGTACTTAGTTGGTTTATTTAATACCCAGGAGCAGAGAAGAAGATTTTCAAAGAATTCATGTATTTTCATTATATAATCAATAGAGAGCCCCGCCCTAACACCAGAACACTTGACCCTGAGGCCATAAAATTCACAATTTTGGTATAGGCACTCTTGCTCATTATAACTATGTACTTAATTAGTTTATCTGATACGCAGGAGCAGAGAAGAAGATTTTCAAAGAAATAATGCATTTTCACTACCTACTTATTTAGCCCCGCCCTAGCACTAGAACCCTGACCCCAGGGCTATGAATTTCACAATTTTGGTAGAGGACTTATTGCTGATTACAATCATGCAAACAGTTTGACTGCTTGATGTCCAGGAGTAAAGAAGATTTTTAAAGATTGCATTAATTTTAGTGATTTTGGCCCCACCCCTCAGACCCCAGAGGTGCAGGGATCATGAAATTCACAATTTTTGTTCCCCTTCACCCATAGATGCTTTGTGTCAAATTTGGTTGAAATTGGTTCAGAGGTTGCAGAGAAGAAGCTGAAAATGTTCAAATGTTAACGAACGACGACGGACGAAAACAGATAGCAATAGGTCACCTGAGTTTACTCAGGTGACCTAAAAAAAAGCTAAAGTAAAAAAAAAATCCTTATATCAAGTAGACTCGTAATTTACATCTGCACGAAGCATGTTGTACAGAATTATCTTGCAAACAAATACGGCAGTATAAATAGACGAAGTTTTCGATGATCTGTAGGGCCAGGAGGGCTATTAACAACAATTGTAAGAAACGTTTTGCTGTGGAAACAGCGAAAGAATATGTTAGGATCCCATGGCTAGTAATATTTTGATGTGACGGTTTGAAAAACATGGAGAAATAAATTGAAAAACGGCGCATTTTTTGTGCGCAATATACATTTTTTTCAATGGGTGGCACTGTAGCTCTCCGGCCTGCCAATATATTTTTCCGGAGAGCTACAATTCTGCAGCTTGTTCATTACCTGTGATAAGTCCTTTCTAAATACACTATAATATTTTTCCCTTTGACTTACTTCTCAGAAACTTTAACCTTGGTCATATCTTTTAGATGAGTAGAGATAGGGCTTTTATATTACACATGTATACATGTACGAGGGGTGATCAAAAAGTTCGCGAACTAATTGAATAACTTCCATAAAAGAAACAATATTTGGTTTCAATGTTGATTATATTTTAAATTAATCCTCTCCAATTTTAATGCACATCAACCATCGTTCTGCGCATGCGCGAATCACGTGATATTGGCGGTCACGTGACCCCCTCCGTAGTATTCTGTCAAAAAAGTTGAAAGATTTTTCGGAGTTTTATATTTCCTTTCCATGTGAGTTAATTTTTATGACAAGAACAGTTCATTTGTCAGAAATAGTCAAATCTCGGCAACAGAATGCGGATAAGAATATCCTTTCCAAAAATAAGCATGGCGACCATTAAAACACTAATCTTCTGTCTCGGGAGAGACCTTTATTCAAGGTGGATAGAGAATGGGTACCTCCTTTTCATCATATCTAATACATGTATGTTTAAAATCTAAAATAAACGATATCTTAGGTATTTAATAATTATATCATTGTTCAAATATTCAACTATATTTCAAAGTGTAAATTGGAGGTCTTTGAATGCAAATTGCTTAATTAAAAACACATATCTTTTCAAACTTGCTTTCACTGGGCAAAATGACAAGTATGATTTTTAACCATGTGCCTTCCTTCACTAAAACGATCAATTCAATCATTAATTGAATTTATAGGAACTTATTAATCATAATAAACTGTGTACAAATTATTATACGATACAGTAGAGAGATTTCTAAGATATACAATAAATTGTACAGTCGTTTGTTGAACGAGTTCGACTGAGGCAACCATTTTTTGTCACAAGTGACCTACATTGTGACGTCATTTTCACATTGTGACGTCAGAAACAAGGAGAAAATCTTTATTCATCATATCCTATTTATAGACCTTGTGTATGGCTATGTGTGTACCGAATTTCATTCTAATCTGAATTGTGGTTTTGTAGATATAGAGACAGTTCGCGAACTTTTTGATTACCCCACGTATTATCTGTGACAAGACCTGTCTAAATGCACTCTAATTTCTAACCCGGGGACCTTCAAGTTTGAACTATTTTTTAAAAAACTTTAATCTTGGTGATCATATCTTTTGAATGAGAAGATATAGAGCTTTCATATTAAACAAGTATATTACCTGTGACAAGACCCTTCTAAATACGCTATGATCTTTGACCCTGTGACCTTGAAGTATGACGTTTTTCCCCCAAGAACTTAACTTGGTTATATCTTTTGAATGAGAAATGATAGGGCTTTCATATTACTCAATCAGACATATGTATTACATGTGATAAGACCTTTCTAAATACACTCTTTTTACCCCGTAACCTTGACCTTTAAGATTGACCTTCTTTTAAAAAATTTAATTTTCCTTATAAATTTTCATTGAAAAGAGATCGAAAATGATTTCATTTTTAACATATGCATTAGCTGTGATGA